ACTTGAAATATCTCACTCCAGGCTCTCCTTGCCCTAAGGGTTTGTGTTGAAAAGTCTGCTGTGATTCTGTTGGGCTTTCCTTTGCATGTGATTTGTTTCTTTTCTCTTACTACTTGTAGTATTTTGCTCTTCTGTTGGGTTTCTGGGATCTTGATTATAATATGTCTAGGTATAGATTGTTTTTGATTGTGGCTAGTTGGGTCCTATATGCCTATCTGAATGTCAAATTCTTCCCCTCTGTTTGGGAAGTTTTCTGTCATTAATCCTGTGAAGAGCTTTTTAAAGTCATTTGTATTTTCTCCTGCTACTTCATGGATTCCTATCAGTCTTATGTTATTCTTCTTTGCATCATCTAGGAGTTGTTGGATTGATTTCTCATGATCCCCTACTGTTTTTAAGAGACCTCTCTTTCATGGTCACTGACTGCAATCTTATCTTCTATATCTGAGAGATTATCTTCGCATTCTTTTATTCTGTTGCATACACTTTCAATGGAGTGTTTAATCTCCTGGATATCTGTTTGAATCTGTTTTATGGATTCCATTTCTTTCCTATGTTGGGTGTTTATTTTTTCCATTTCTTTCTTATTTTGGGCCTTCATGGCTTCTATCGTGGTCCTGAACTCATCTGTTTTTGTTTTTTTTTTTTTGTCAGTTTCTGCTCTAGAGTCTTGATTCACAACTTTCATTTTGCTCACCATCTCTATGGTTATCTGGAAAATTATTTCTGTTTTGAATTTTTCTAGAGCCTGATTGATCTGTTTTGTTACCTCCTGTGCTTTGAGTTCAGGTTGTCCTAGTTGTTCACCATCAGCCTTTTCATCCTCATTTGCCCTACTGTTTGCCATTGGTGAACTGGAAGTCTGTCTTTGTGTCCTGCTTAAGTGTTTTCTCATTTTTATTTTTGTTGTTGGGCTGTCCTTGGTTTAATCTCTGGGTTATCTCCCAAATCTTCCTGATATTGTTGCGCCCTAGCTTCTGGGTCTCTAACAACCCACAGACATTCTCATCTTCATAGCATCAGAGAAAATAGCTCATCAAATCAACCACAATCCTTTATTCCAACTGGTACAATCAGCAACACATTATGATCAAGCACAGCTTGGAAACTGACCACCTGTGGTAGTCATTAGTCTATCACCCTTAAACCATTTGAATTAAATTGAAATCAAGAAGCAGTCCTGAACATGTCTGCAGTTAACAAACGTTTCAATATAGTATACTTACCATTTAAAGGCTCAGACAGAGCTAGGATGCAAGACCCCTGATCTCAGTTAGCTGATGGCTGAACCCCATGATGCAGACTGACCTCGGGCTGCAAGGCCCAGATTGAGTTCCCCAACCTTGTGAACAGTTGAACTCCACACCTTTCTACTACAAGTTTCCCATGCCCTTTCTTTAAAGATGTTCAAAGTTGGGAACTCAGAAAAATACCCTTTATGACCACCTCTGCCTCTGCAGAGTGGGCCCAAAGACTGGCACAATCAGGAGGTCTGAGAGTGCGTGCAGTGGGGGGAGGTAAGGGGAGTTAAGGGGATTCAGGGGAGCCCGCTACCTTCCTGGCACTGGAGCGATGGCGGCTCTGGGTGGGAAAAGGCTTGGCTCTTCTTTCTGTGGTGGATCGGGGCCCAGGCTACCTTCCTGGTGCTGGAGCAATGGCTACAGCTTCTTTTCAAATACAATTTATACTAGTAATTATTTATTGTTATAAACTATAGTAACAATAAAAGTATAACAATGTTAAGAAATAATGCTAACCAAAGTTCGATTTTTAAGCTGCTGGCTAGGATAAGAGCAGTCCCTTCTATTTTTGTAAGTCTGTGATTCACTCTCCAACCCACAACAACCTGGCTTGTGCTTCTGCTGCTCTATTTCTTTTTAGAGTGGAGCAGTTCAATGTGAATCAATTTCTATTTAAGTTAAGGCCTAGAGAACTCCATTTAGAAATATACATATGGTAAACCTGGCATTTGCAATAATGACAAGATTGCTGCCATCAGTGCCCTCAGGGAGCTTCAATTTCCAGTTGAAAATACTGTGTGCTTAAGATTAATTTTGCCTTAATTGGTTGTGAGGCAGTGGCAACAGCCAGATAATTTTCACTCATAATCTTTCAATCAGAAATTATGTTTTGTTTGTTCGTCTTGTGGAATTTTCATTCTTGTGGAGATAGGCATTATGAAATTAAACTATGAGTCATATAGCTGATTGTTTTGTTACAGTTGAGATATAATTGAAAATGACCTACAGGGTGCTAGGAAAGCATTTAACAAGGCACCCACATCTGGTCTAGTGGGTAAGGGAAAGTGTGATGGGTCGCCTTTGAGATTCCCCTCACTGTTCTCTGCCCACACACTTAGTCCCTTCTGCACATTACCATTTTCCATCTGTCTTTGCCAGTTTGTAATGCAGTGGTGGTGTGAGAGGGAGTTCACCAGTATCCGACATCATGCTATTTGGATCTTCCAGTCACCAGAATCATAAGGTAAAAAATTTCTTTTCTTTATAAAGTGACAGCCTCAGGTGTTTTAGTATAGCAACACAAAGTAGATGGTATTGTGGAAAATACTATAATGATGGCCAGAAGACCTGGGTCCCAGTGCTGACTCTGATCTCAAGCAATCATATGATTATTATTCTAGTTAATCATAAGTTTTCTCATCTATAGATGAAAATTCAAATCCTTACCAATCTGAGTCAAGAGTGACTAGTTATATGAAACATATATATGGAAAACTCTGAAACACTCCTGAAAGAAGCAAAAATAGACTTTCAAAAAATATGAGAGACAATCTGTGTTCGTGGTTAAATTGGATAAGACAGCTAGTCCATGTTCTTGGGTAAGATAAATCAATTCCATACACATAAAATAATTCCTATGTAAGGTCCATACATGCCTTGTAAGGTCAAGAGCACACTCGTTTGAGCTGCAGGTCCTTTTATAAAGAGCTAATCCCAATCACGAAGGCAGAACCCACATGGCTTACTCACCTTCCCCAAATCACGTCAAATAGTGTTGCATTGCATATTAAGTTTCAACATGAATTTGGGAGGGGACACCACCAGTCAAATTATAGCTCCAAATAAAATCAGCATCACAGTTTTTAGAGAACTAGGTAATTGATTATAAAGTTCATGAACAAATAGACAAATGAGAACATGCAGAAATATGCTAAAAACAGAAGCAGTAGAGAGGAGTAATTCCAAGAGTTGTCAACACTGTGATTTTTTTTTTTGTTTTGTTTTGTTTTTTTTTGCTTAAAAAAAAAAAACCTGTGGTTTTACCATATGCTCGAACTGTGGTTTTAACATATGAGCAAATACAGCAGGGCAGGAAATACAGAAATAGACCTAAGAACACATGGAAACTTAGTACATAATAGTGGTGATATCTCAAATCAGTGGGGGAAAATAGAAACTGTTTAATAAGTATTGCTGATACAACTGCAGAAAACATAAAATTGGACTCGTTCTTTAAATCCATTAAAGTCTCAAAAAAGACCTCTGAAGCTCCTGTGGGAAACTCAAAGGGCCACCTCTGAGATGGCCACAAATTGGGGTAAGAAAGGTGAGTCTTGAGTCTTTATGCCCTACAATAACCACATATATCAAGAATTTAAATATAAATAACAATTGAATAAAAATAGTATACAGACTTGCATTTTTTTTAAAGAATGGAGAAACATTTACCTGACCATGACTCAAAGACCAGAAGAAAAACCACTGGTAAAGGGCCAGGGATTTGGCTCAGAGGTTCTGCTGCCTGCCTTGCAAGCACAAGCTCCCGAGTTTGATCCCTGGTACAAAAAACAAAAAAAACAAAACTTTCATGGGAAAGAGACAAATGAAGTAAAAAGCAAATAACAATTAGAAAAAATATTTTATTTGTCTGTCATAAAGGGTTCATAATGTAATATAAATGGCTCTGAAAAATGGAGAAAAACATATTAAGTGGGCAAAATATATGATCAGCCAATTCACCGAAAAATAAAATACTCTTAATCATTTGAAAATATATTCAATCTTCCTCATAATGAGATAAACATAAATTAGAGCTATATTGGGGCACATTTCTCACTTATCATGTAGGCAAATCAAGAAATAGAAAAATCTGCTTTATTCCCTGTAGGGAAGAAGGCACTTTCATTTGTTGTTGGCATGTGTGCAAAAATAGTAAAACTTCTGTGGAAGGAGATTTGGCAAGATCTAGTAAAATTATATCTTCACCTAGTAATTCTTTTTTTTAAACCTAGCAATTCTGTTATACCAAGGAAACACTTGCAAAAATTCAAAAAATAAAAATTAAATTAAAAAGTTAAGCACAAGTGAATCACTCCAGGATTCTTTGTAAGAGCAAAAAAATGGAAACAATCCAAAAGCCTCTCAGTGGGAAACTAATGAAATAAACTATGGGGTACCCATATAATGAAGATTATGCAGCTATAAAAAGAAGTGAGGATGATCTCTTAATAATTTTATGGCAAACTCCTCAGGTATATGGTTAAGTGATGAAAATTAAGTCAACTTTTCATCACTAGAATAAAATACTTGGAAAAATTCACTTAAAAGAGAAAAGTTTCATATTGACTCACAGTTCTGGAGCTTCCAGTCCATAGTCGATTGGCCCCATTGTTTTTTTGTTTTTGTTTTTGCAGTACCGGGGGTCAAACTCAGGACCTTGCGTTGGCGAGGAAGGCGCGGTATTACTGAGCTAAATCTCCCGCTCCGGCCCCGTTGTTCTTGAGCCTGTGGCGAAGTGGCGCACAATGGCAAGAGTCTGTGGCGGAGCAAAATTGCTCACTTTACCGCCAGTAAGCAAAGGGAAATGCTGCACAAGCAGGTAATCCAAAAATCCGCCAGCGATCTGAGAATCTCCCCAAGGCTCAACCTCCCAAAGGCTCCAATGCCTCCAGAACTATATCTCCAGCTGGGGACCAGGATTTCAATATGTGGACTTTTGGGGGACATTCAACATTCAAACTCTAGTGCCAGGTGAAGTGTTCGTAGTATGATAACTTTGTTTAAGAAATGCCTAGAAATGTAATACATGGCTGTATTTACTTATAGTTAAAATTTTTATTTACATATTGCTGAAATGGAAAACTAAACGAAGAATTACTAAAAATGATTATATGTAGAGGATAAGAGGAACGAGGTTTATGTAGGAGAAAGGAGGAACGAGGGTGGAAAGGTTACGGATGGAAGTAGTATTTCTTTGGAAGTATATATATTTCTTTATTAAAAATCACAAGGAAAATCTATTTTTATTGAAGTAAAATTATCTGTTAAATATCATTTTTATTTTAATAAAATTAAAGCCACTTTATTTAAATGTCTTTAACAATTTTAAAACAAAATTTAGTCAAAAGTGGAAAAAAAAAACCACCCCAATTCCAGAATGTTGAAAAACAAATGAATTTAAGTGCCTGTCAAACTGGCCGCATGGGGCTGGGGATTTAGCTCAGTGGTGCCTCCACTTGCCTTGCAAGTGCAATGTCCTGAGTTGGATCCCAGGTACAAAAGAAAAAAAAAATTGGTGGCATAAAGTTAGTGCTGTAATGAGCTACCTAGACATCCTCCAGGAGTGACACACATAATCTACCAGGTGCTAGAAATGCTGCTGGCAGAGAGAATTCAGCTGCCAGACCTTTCTGGGAAGGCCCTTGGAGGAAAAGTCCTGCCTGCCCAAAGCCCCTCTCCCTTTCTAAGGTACCCTGCACCCAGTGATTGGTGGATGAGAGGGTATAAGTAGCCAGTTCTCCTAGCTGAGTGTGGTGGTATATGCTGTAACTCCAGCGTTCTGAAGGAGGAAGATTGCAAGTTCTAGCCCAGCCTTGGTGATTTAGCAACTTAGCAAGACCCTGTCAACAAACAAACAAACAAACAAACCTGCTGTGGATGTGTCTTACTGCACAAGCACTGGAGGGGCCTCAGAAGACTCTGCTAAGACTACATTGCAGGCAAACTTTTCCCTTTGGCGATTTCTGGCCTTTAGCACAGGTGTTGATCCCATGAGCTCTAACAAATTTTCTGCATATTAAACTCAATCTCAGAGTATACTTCCTGGGGAGCCCAGCTGTGACACTTGGCATCAGGAGTGGTCAAGACAATAGTCATGATAATGGCATTTTCGTGGGAGATTTACCTGCTTCCAGGCTAGCAGAGAGACTATCATTGCTGGTGGCAAAAACAACACGGACATTTCCTGGCACAACTGGACTGCAACTGTTAAAATGCTCATTATTAGTGAACTGTACATTCTGGCTGGAAGAAATACTCCAGTGGGTGCAGTGTATTGGGTGTTTGAGATATAAAGAGAACCCATGGGTGGGCTGATGCTAACTGTGCGGTCATTTGATACTTTAAAGAAATCTATTGAAAGGTTGAGAATGATTAATCTGGCAATTAAATACTAAGCATAAAAACTAAAGTACATCTTTGGTAAATAAACAAAAGATGGATTTTCTACAAGTAGAGGATGGGAAAAACTGAAGATCATCAGGTCCATCACTTAAGTATAAGTATAGCAGAGCCTCAAAGAAGACTAAATTCTGAATATTGGCGAGTCTGCAATGCTAAGAGCAAAGTGCTGCTTGGGAAAGAATAGAACCGTAACGTACAGGACTCAGACATTTGGGATTGTGCACTCCACAGTCTTCAATTCTCAGAGTTCCCTGAACTCTTTGAAACTTAGAAAGTGGCCTGCTCCTCCTCTGGGCTAATGCCCCTTCCTTTGATTGGAGATTGCGGAGCCCTCCCAGATCAGCCCCATCTTCCCTCCTTTTTGCCACTAGACAAATAACTAGAATTAAGTTACAACTTAACATAATTTGTGCCTGACAATGGAGGAAAGGGAAAATATTGGTTTGCTGGAGTTGAAATGGCTGAGGCTTAAACAACTGAAATTAATTTTCTCACAGTTCTGAAGGCTAGGAGTCCCAGATCAATGTATTAGTAGGGTTGGTTCTTTCAGGGAGGCCCTGTGGGAAGTATCTACCCCAGGTCCACAGATGACTATCTCCTCCTCCTCGTCACATTATCTTCTCTCCCGTTTGTGTCTTTGTCCAATTTTCCTCATCTTGGGCACGGACAAGGGGAAAAAAATGAGAACCAAGACCTGTCATGTAAAGGTACAAGATCCCAATAATGAACGTAATTGTACTATATACCTAAAATGTACCAATAAACTCAATAAAAGAAAAAAAAAACAAATCTCCTCATCTTGGAAGGATATCTTGTATTGAAGTAGGGCCCTCCCTAATGACTTCCCTTTCCTTAAATACAGTCAAAGTACTGAGGGTTAAAATTTCAAGATGCGAATCATTAGGGAGAAACAATCAACCTGTAAGAGGGATTGTATTCCAGAAGAGCTGAGGACCTGGAAGAATTCCCATAGCACTGAATTCTGAGGGTGCTGGATCAAAGAGGAAGGAAGAATATAAAGTTGAATGAGGATTTAATTAATCTAGGAACACTTTCCTGGGATTCAGGGTTTAACAGCTTGACAGGGACCCCTAAAATTAGTGCAGACATGCCACTCGAATCTCTCCTATAAGCATGGGAAAATGATGGCCATATGAAATGAACTAGAAATGTCGGGATTACTATGCAAGGGAGTAGAAGAAAGGATTAGAATGCTCAGAAAAATAAGCATGCTAAAGTGCATGTACTACATGAGGCCGGACACCTACTAGACCACACAGAATGGTTCATTTACTGAGGTAATCAGGAAGGTGGTGTTGAAAGAGTACGAGAATCACTAACAGGTTCTGTGGTGGCTCTCCTCTATAGACCTGGTTTGACGGTCAGAGATGTCACAGAATTGCATTTACTAATTGCAACGGGGATAATAGGACCACCCCTTTTTCCCTCCCCAGTGGAGGATGGTGACATAACAGTGTTCAGAAGCCGGGAAGATGCATTTGCTGAATGAGCAGGGAGGTCAAAATGGAAAAGGGGAATTCTATAGAGAGCTCTAGAAATGGTTAATGGAACATAGTAATCCTAGTCACAAAAAACAAAACCAAACAAACAGCAGCTAAACCATATAAACAAAGCAAATTAAGTATGGCTGGTTAGGAGGCTAAGAGCAGTGACCCCAATAAAATGCCATGATCTCTTGCTGCTTCTAGACCTGAGCCATTTGCAAATCCGGAGCCTTCTTATTGATGAAGAGGTCTATCCCAGATGGAAGGATCTGGCACACCACGACAACTCTGAAGAGACATGATTTCCCCAGTCCTTTCTCAGGAGACTTAAAATAATTTATTCAGCAAATACAGCTTGAGGAAATGGAAATGCTGAAATTGTCTAAGATGTTTGGAATTAGGGTTCAAATTGACACTGATACCTACAGATCTAAAGCAACACCAGAGGTCCCCTGTTAGAGTGGGAGAAGGTAAGTGTCCATAAATAGAATACTGCTCAAGATCTGGCTCACAGAAGGTCCAGTGGGTCCGCAAGTCCATCTAATGGTCATTTCTCCAGTCCCTGACTGTATAATGGGAATATACATATTCGGACAATATGTCTTGAACTTCCACACGACATGTTGAAGGAATGTTTCAACATCCCCCAGACACACTTGGTGTAACCCTCACAATGATCATACACGGGAGGGTACTTCTCACTGATGCTTCTCCCCTGCCCTCTGCTCCCCTTCCATTGTGCCCGCCTGCCACGATGCACCTGCACTGGGGCTCCTGACCATGGACTGAGCCCTCTGAAACCCTGAGCCAAACAATTATTTCCTCCTTCAATTTGTGTACGTCAGGCATCTTGTCCCAGCAATGCTAAAACGGATCAATACAAGCACAAAACTTTCTGGTTTTCAGTTTGTGACCCTTGTGGACAGTTATATGATTTACAGGGCAATCAACGTTTCTCTGTTGGTTTATTTATACTTTAGTTCTTTCCTCTTCCCAGTTGTGCTGTGCATCTTAGATTGCTGAATCAAGAGGGATCTAATTTCCAAATTCTTTCTGCTCCCATCTAGTTGGCACTTGTGAGGGAGGGGTCAGGAAGTGTTCCTTGTGTGACAATGACTATAAACACAGCAGAAGATCTGGAACAACCGGAAAACCAAGCCGTCTGTTGTAATTACAATCGTCGTAGTTTTTAGAATGCACCCTCATGTTCCAGAAAACGCTTCCATCCAAAGGTCAACGATACGACTAACAAGGGCCGCCAAGCAACGTGCACATCTTATTTTTACATTTTATTTTTTAAATTGTAAAGTAAGTATATTACAGAAAATTTACAAAATGAAGAAAAAACCCTCAGGTCACCATCTGAACACACTGATTTCGATCATTTCGATGAATTCCTCTCCGTTTTCCGCCGCCGCGCACCGCCCCTCCGCAGCCCTGACCTTCGCGCGCAGCCGGAACCTCTGCGCAGGGGCGGGGCTGCCACGCCGGGCGCTCTGTCGTCATGGTAACCGCGGAAGCGGGGTCCGGCGAGCGGTGAGTCGGGATCTTGGCGCCGAGGGCTCGGGTGGGCGCTGGGTGGGTCGGGGCCGGGCAGAAGGGCAAATGCCCTCGGGGCTGCCTGGGCAGGACCCGGAGGACGAGGGTTTCAGCCGCAGCGACCTTAGCCTCTGGGTCCGACGTGAGCTTTGCGCACGGTCTGTACCCCGCAGGCGGCCTCGAGGGACCTTAAACTTCAGAGCACAGGAGTGGTCAACGTCCTCCCGCGGGGACGTCCGCTTTGGCGCAGCGGGACTGTCACGGTGTCCTGCTCCACAGGCCTTCCCTTTGTGCAAGCCTGGGGGCCCAGTGCTGCGGAGGCGGGGGCGGGGGTGAAGATTCTCCTAGGGCTGGAATCTAACGACCTTAGACCAAATTTTTAAAAAATAAGAATTGGTTTAAAAGATCCTTCAGGATCGACTTCCGGGATCACAACTTGAGGCTGCCACATCCGCCTTCTTGCCCGGATTCTTCTTTTCAGACGCTTTCCACTTTGCCTGGGAGGCTGAGGCTGGAGGATCCGGAGTTCAAATCCAGCCTGGGCAGTTTAGGGATTTAGCACGACCCTGTCAAACACGGGGAGGGGGCCTACAGGTATAGCTCAATGACAAGGCCCTAAGTTCAATCCTTAGTGCCACGATAAACAGAGTCCTTCCACTCTTGGATATCAGAAGTGTTACCTCTTCTTGGAAGCCGTTGTGGGACCTCCCCACCTTGAGCCGGTTGTAGACTTTTTACTCTCAAAACATCTGCCTACCATTGTGTATCCCTTATCTCACTTGTTAATTGCTGGTTTACAGTGTTTTTTCCGACCTTGACTTATATGATTCTTTTATTACTTTGGTCCCAGCAGCTTCAGAAGTGTTCACACTGGATAGTTAAAAGGCTCTAGACTTGTTTTCTCACAGTCACTTAGTAAGGCAGGACAGGTTGTGTCCTCATTTCAGAAAAGTCATATAATACATAATGAGAAGGATTAAAAGTATACCGCACTCCCGTCATACTCCAGCCTTCCCTGTCTACTCCCCATGCTCATATTCTCTGGGAAACTTGTGTCATATTAACAGGGTTACAGTTTTATTTCATGATATTATTTGGGCAGAGAAAATTTATTGATTAATAAATTAATACATCAATAAATAGCTTATTTCTCCAAATAGTGTTTGATTTCTCTCATATAAAGATGCTAAGAGTCTTAGCTACCTTCTGTGACTCTCTCCTTGAGATGGAGCCCTGGGTGTATAGATGGATGTGGACAGCTCGTGAAATGAATTATGGGGCAGTATTTGGTTTCCTTTGCCATCTGTGCCCTGGGGCATCCTTCCTGCACTGCTCCTTTCCCTTATAGTATTCATGGTTATGAGCTGTGGCTCATGTGCCTTTGAACAGGTTTGTTCAGGCCCCAGTGAGCCTCCTGGCCTGCTCAGCTGTCCTGGCTTCTGCTGTGACTTCGCTTCTGCCTGGGCTGGAGTGTTTGCTACACAGTCCTCCCTCCTACAGAGCCTCCTGGCCCTGCCACAGCACCCAGTCTGGGGCAAGACTCTATGCTTCATCTCGGTCTCATGCATGTCCGGAAGCAGTGGTCCTCAAAGCTGGCCTTAGGACTCCATTACACTCCTAAATATTAGTGATCTCAAAGAGCTTTGGTATGAGATAGAATTAGAATTAGTCTAAGAATCTCAAATGTCTACTATTCCTTTAAAAATAACAAAAATAAACACCTGTTAACATGAATTACATTATTTCTCATGACAATTTTTCTCAAACAGAAAAATTAGAAAATGGCCTTGTTCTACATTTTTCCAAGTGTCTAATTTTCTGGCTTAAAAGAGATAAATTCTTATGTTTGCTTCTGCAGTCAGTTTTTGCAACATGTTATTTGAGTTAAAAAATATATAAATAAATTGGGAAAAGGAAGAGTATTTTAATATAATTTTTCCATAATTGAACATTTTTTTGGTGACTGCACCAAAACTTGACAAGTGGTTATTTATTAAAGTTAATTGCAATGTGGAACCTGAAGCCACATCAATAAACTTTTTCATACTGTGTTACATTAAAACCTATTGATTTGTGTTAAATTTTTTGTTTTGTTTTGTTTTTGCAGTACCGGGGATCAAACTCAGGACCTTGCACTTGCCAGACAGGCATGGAGCTACTAAGCTACATCCCCGGTCCTTTTTTTTTTTTTTTTTAAAGAGGATTGCTCTCACTATGTTGCCCAGGCTGGCTCTGAATGCCTGAACTCAGATGATCCTCCTGCCTTAGCCTCTTCCATAGCTGGAACTATGGGTGTGTAGTGCCTGGCTTATCTTATACTTTGAATACAAGAGCAATTCAGAATCATTATTTTAAAAATGATGTATTCCTAAGGGTCTCAAAGTGCAGCCCTTAGCCTCGTAGTGTCAGCGTCACTTAGAAACCCAGGCCTCATGAAGCTCACTTTCTGAGGGTGAGACAGCTCTGCAGGTTTCACAAAGCCTCCAGGTAATTCTGGTGCTGATCCTATGGGATCATACTCTGAGAATCATGATTTTTACTAAATCAATATTATGTACTACAGTATTTTCCAAAAACCACTTTCATTAGTATCATTACTGATCTCATGGCCAGCACAAGTTTTCTTGTGTTAGGGTACTGGGGATCGAACTTGGGACCTTGCACTTGTGAGGCAGGCAGTGGAACCACTGAGCTAAATCCCTGGCCCATGTTAGGATTTTCTAGAGAAACAAAACCAACAGTGTGTGTGTGTGTGTGTGTGTGTGTGTGTGTGTGTGTGTGTGTGTATGAATAAATAAAAAGATGTATTATAGGTCCCTAATCCAAAAGCCAGGAATTTGAAATGTTCTAAAATCTAGTAAAGTCGATAGAAATACTCGAAAACCCAAACAACTTCTAAAATCTGAAATTCTGTACTTCTGGTCTTGAGCATTTGACTTTAGCTGGTGTGTATTAAGGGCTGTCCCCAGTCCAGTGCTTCTGAAGTTGTGGTCTGAGGACTCCATGGGCATCTCCAAGATATTTTCAGGGAATCCATGACAAGGACGGTTTTCGTACTAACAGCTTATTAATAGCACCCTATTTGCCTCTTTACTCCCACGTTTGTTCAGGGTCTTCCCGAGAGGCTGGTAGGTGATGAATAATATCAGGCACGAGACTTCGTCTGTCTTCTGCTAAGCTGTGCATTAAAAAATGGAAGAGTTCTAGTTTTCTCTTAACTTTATTTTTGCTTTGGAAAATAGTATAGTTATTTTTCATGAACTTTGTTTCTTTATGTTAACATACAGTTGCTTTTAAGATGAATTAATAAATTAGAGATTTTAAAGTTTAATTTCAAATATGATATTGATAGATATAACCAACACAAATAAAAATTCTTTAGGGTTCTTAGTTTTTAAAACTGTAAGAACCCTGAGATCAAAGAATTTGAAGACCATTGTCCTGATCATGTTAGTCCTTGGCTGATATAGAAATTCAGCTTCATTGCAGGGATACTGAGAGTAGCTTTGGGCATTTTGGCCTGGATCAGATTTCTATAGTTGATCTAATTTGTGTCCAAATCTCTCAATGAAACTGAGATCAGCCAGCCCCTGAGCTATGTAGCAAAACCAAGTAAAAAAAAAAAAAAAAAGCAAGCATGCAAGCCGGGTGTGGTAGTGTGTGCCTGTAATCCCAGCACTCAGGAGGCTGAGGCAGGAGGATTGTTGTGAGTTTGAGACCAGCCTGGGTTACATAGTGAGTTCCAGGTCAGCCTCAACTACAAAGAAAAAAAAAAAAAAAGAAAGAAAGAAAGGAAATTGGGCAGGGGAAGTAGCTCAGAGGTGCCGCAGGCTGCCTCCCAAGTGCAAGGCCCCAAGTTCTATCCCTGCTACAAAAAAAAAAAAAGAAAGAAAGAAAGAAACTGAGATCAGACTGATGTCTAGATGTGGAATAATCTGTTATCAAGTGTCTGGTGGTATAGAGTACAAATTAATTTACATAAGAATACTTCATATTAAGCAGAAATAAACAGCACTACCATCTTTCCCTTTGGCTCGTGACGATTTTGCTGAGGACTGATGATGTGATGACAATGGTAGGAGCTCTGCCAAGTGCTTACCATGTGCTTGGTGCGAACCTCATCTAACTTAATTTTAATTCTCAAACAATCGTGAATAGGTTCTCGGGTGATGCCTGCGAGAGAGTATGTGTATTGCCCATTACTGTGCCACAGTTCTAGGGATGGATTGTGATCCCAGGTCTTCTTGACGCCAAAGCCCATTGCTCTTGGCTGTGAAAAAAAAAGCACTGACAGTTGCAAACTTGGCTTTAAGAGTTATGTATGACTCGTCAAGAATTGTGGGAGGTCCGAAAGTGGCTCAAAACAAACATAAAGCTTGATCCTTGCCCCCAGCAATCTAATTGGGTAGATGTGTTAAAAACTTCAAATAATTAGAAAACAATATACCTGGCAGAGGGTTGAGAGTGGAAGAGTGGATGGACATGGTTTATGTATATGTAGGGAAATATCATGGGGAACCCCACTGACTCACATGATTATACGTATTAATGATAGTAAAACTAAAATAGCATGATACTACATTTGACAAGTTGTATGCTACAAACAATAATAATGGCTCTTGGAATTGAGAGGAGCAAAGGTGATTTCAAGAGAGGAATTAAGGGGAATTTTAAGAAGAAAGTGGTTTTATAGGTTGGCCTAAATCGGATTTGGGAACCTGGGATGGAAGAGATGAGAAGCTATTCTAAGCCCAGTAGCAGCAACACCTCTGAAACACAAATGGGAGTTTTGATGCCTGGGCCCCTGAAGGTACAGTGGGGAAAGGCATTTCAAACATATCCTGCCTTTGTTCTCAATGTTTGGACGAATGGCCTTAGCAGAAATGTTCCAGAAGATCACAACTGCTATTAATAGTGTGATCAAATGTCTAGTACTAATGGACACTTTGGAGAATGAAGAATAGGTGCTGTTAAGAATTATCTGCAGTGAAGCAGATGTAACTCGAACTGTCTTGGCTATACTGGAACAAAATTCACTGAAGTTATTAACCATCAACACTGTCCTTAGAGGCCTTCTCATCGAGTTCCTGGTATAGTCTCCATGGTGACTATTCAAAGTTAATGTTATTTTTCATGTTGTGGGTTGCAACCCACTTAGTGGGTCATAAATTCAATTTGGTAGATGGCACTCAGCTTTTGAAAAATAGAATCAGTGGATTATGCTGTAAATAGTTGAGATATCTATCTTGTAAAGATTGGTTTAAAAAACTGGGCTAAAGGAAAAGAATGTGGAGTTTTAACCCCAAAGAAGGGGAGGTTAGATAGTGGGGAAGACACCTAGTAGTCTGCTTCTGAGCTCTGTAAGGGGCCCCTGTAATCACTGGGAGGCTGAAAATGAGCAGAGACCAAGGGAACTCTGGAGGGTAGAACCACAAGAACCATCGCGTGTGCTGATAGCAGGAAGTTGCAAGCAGCACACTGCCCTACCATTTTGACGAATGACCTTCATGGCCTTGTATCCCTTGTTCCAGAGTCAGGATCCTGGTATCGAAAGGCTGTTAGGCTGAGCCCAGTCATGTGCCTGTCCCGGGCTTGTGCTGAGGTGTAGAGAATGAGGACTTTGCCTCTTTGCCTTCTGTAGTGGGAAGTTAACTTCATCTTCCGTGAGAGGAATCCCCTAAAACAGAATTAACGATGCTTTAAGGAAGGCACAGGCATGCATAGAAATGTGTGTATGAGAGGGTGGAGAGTTATATGCCACATGCCAAGAATGATTTTAAGTTTCCACTGTATTTCTTCTGTAAGATGAAGGAATTGGTTTCAACAATCTCAAAGATAAGATTTGGTCGCAGTGATATGGTGGAGTCACGGTTGATTGGTTAATCCAACTCTCACTTCCCATCTTCCTTGCTTGTATGGAGGCTAGAAAATTGAGATACTACCCTTCCCCCCTTTCTTAAAGATAATATTGTCAGGTCCCGGTCTGATCTTTGGGATACAACTGAAAATTTGTTGAGACTTGTTAGGAAAGACTTTGTTTTATTTTCCTCTTAAAAGGGATTGATATCGCTGGTATCCTATCAGGGATTCCCTTTTCTTTCTTCCATGCACAAAGATGTGATAGCAAAAATTATAATGGCTATTTGTTACCATCAGGCAACACCCATGAAGGTGAAAGTCTTGCACATTAATTACTATGATGGGATAGAATGACAAAAATAGCTTGGATCTATATTTTTGATCTGGTGAACAATTTTTATATTTAAATTTCTTATGTGAGGAAAAAAACCCTACATATAAGTCAATCTTATTTGGCTTTTCTAGTATCTATACTCAAACAGTTCCTAATGTCAGTATCTTATTATTCTTACATATATTTTGTAGAAGAAAGATGTTAGAGCTACAGTAGTAACAGAGGATTCTAACTTTCCGCCAATTTAAAATGAATATTACATTTTTTTCAGTATTATCCCATTTCTTTTCTTCACCATGGGAGCCATGTCAGAAGCTGTTTACCACATGATATATTTGTAATTTATTCATCTCAACTGTTATCTGCCATTTTGTAGGAATATATCAGTTTATGGTCCTTTTCTTGGGCACTGGTTTTCCCCTGTTGTGGACAAAGATACATTCTTGTATATATGAGGAGACCGTGGTATTTTTCTATTAATAATTCCCAATTTGATAAATAGTCTGCCAAAGGGAGCACTATTAAGTCTTGCTTGATTAATTCTGCTGGAGTTGATTTTGTCTCTTCTAAGTTCCCATAGAATTTCATGTGTTATGGTACCTACCATTTGTCACAGCACACATTTTTATGCCTGTCATAGTTTCTCCCCTGAAATAGTAAGCTGTTGAGGGCAGAAGGTAAATTTGATTGTCATTTTTGTGATTCACATAAAAACCTACATAATATTCAGTACGTTTTCAGTATTACTGAGTGAACAGATTCTGTCTAAATATCAGTGCCTGATTTTTTTTCTTATTTATTGAGGTTATTGGTACAATCTAGGTATACAATACAGTTACGTTCATCATTGGGATTCTGTACCTTTACATAATAGGTCTTGATTCTCATTTTTCCCCTTGTCCCTGCCCTCCCTTCACCCCCCCTCCCCTCCCCATTTACAAACACTTTATTTCCATTTTTTCAGTTTCTCATATTTTTTTCCTCTCCCTTATTACCTTTCCCCCACCCTTCCCACTTTCCTTACACCTTTAGCCCTTTACTTCCTATTTCACATTATTAATTGTCTCATTATGATTTTTTTTGTTTGTTTGTTTTTTTGGTACCAGGGATCAAACTTGGGACCTTGCGAAGCAGGCAGTGGAACCACTGAGCTAAATCCCTAGCCCAGTGCCTGATTTTTAAAAAATCTCCATAATTTGCCTCCAGTGGCCCATTTATATTTCTCCTCTCTAAGAAGGAGGAGCCTTGTTTGGGCGGATAATCTCTTGAACATTCTTTTTCAGCATTTTTCTAATGAATTTAATTCATTTTGACCTCTTCTGTTCCTGCTGAATGTACTGTTTTTATCAAGCATTTAGCATTTTAGCATATATTTAGGCAACTTATGCACAGTAAATTTTATTGGCCAAAGCATCTTATTTCATTATCATTTTCAAGTAGTTAAAGATTTTCATCCCATCTATATTGTCAGTTGTCTGATGAAATGAATAAATACATACTGATATGTTTGAATAGATTTCTATAACTTTTCTTTTTGGTCTTAGGTATTTTTGGAATTAATGGAGCCAGAAGCACAGCTAGAGTCAGAGAGTTCAGAAAAATCATTATGTTTCTCTCAGGAAGAAGAAAAAGAAGAATCCCAAGAACCAGAGGAAACTGGCATCGAGAACCCCCTTGTAAAACCAGCTCTCACAGGAGATATAGAAGGTTTGCAGAAGATTTTTGAGGATCCTGAAAATCCTCATCACAAGGATGCCATGCAGCTACTCTTGGAAGAGGATACCATTGGGAGAAATTTGTTGTACGCAGCTTGCATGGCCGGGCAGAGTGATGTAATTAGAGCTTTGGCAAAATACGGTGTGAATCTGAATGAAAAAACTGCCAGAGGTATTTTGTCTTTCATCTCTCATCAGCCTTATTTATCACTATCTAGTGATACTGTGTACTGTCATTATGGCTGGATAAATGTGGTGTGTGATGTGCCTGTCTTGTACATACTTTACCTTCTGCTCTGGGACACAGAGCAAGACCCTGCCTAAAAAACAAAACAAAACAAAACAAAACAAAAAAAACTTTGATCTTTTAACTGTGTCCTAGAATTCCTGAATGTTTTGTTCATAATTTGTTTTTTGTCTTTATTAGTATCTGTACATAATAATTCATTCCTCAGCCTTCAAGCCCTGAAATTCTGTCTTCTGCTTGGTCCTGTTTATTGGTTTCCACTAAATTTTTGATTTGATTTACTCATATCCAGAATTTCTCTCTCTCTGTCTTTTTTTTTTTTTTTTTGGTACCAGGGATCAAACTTGGGTCCTTGGGCTTGCAAGGCAGGCAATGGAACCACTGAGCTAGATCCCTGGCCCCATATCCAGAATTTCTGATTGGAATTTCTTCAGAATCTTTATCTCTTTGTTATGTTGCTCCCTCATCTCCTACATGATCTTCCTTGATTCATTAAGCAGTTTGTTTGTGTCCTCCCTCAAGTCGTTGATACTTTTATGAATTAGTCTTTTCAATTGTTTGGCATTTCATCAACTTCAATGTCTTGCATCAGTTACCGGTGAAAAGCCATGCTGCCTTGTTTTCATACTTCTCGTGTTTCTCTGTATTTGAGGGTCTTAGTATCCAGTCTTTCTTTGAGGGTTGTATACCCATCGCCATTCAGAGTGAAGACAAACTGAAGTAATGACAATGGCAAAAAGACAAACCAGATATCAACACACAGTAAAAACCAATTAAAATAATCGACGTGCTGTAACCATTATATCATTATTGTAATCACCATTAACAAAAGAAAAGAAATTAGCAATAGCAGAGATGAGCTAAAAGGCTAAAATTCACAAGGTTTCATAGTGATTATAATAAAAGTGGAGGTGGGGGATAGGAAAAATTGAAGAAAAATTAAAACTTAAAATAGGAAAGTGAAGGCTGGGGATTTAGCTCATCGTCTGCTTCACAAGCACAAGGTCCCTTGTTCTATCTCCAGCACCAAAAGCATACAAAGAAAGAATAGGAAAGCGAACTGAGGAGGAGAGGAAAGTGAGATAACAATCCAATTAAAGAATGAAGGAAAGTAAAATTAGGTAAAACAAACTATTAGATGTAACAAAAAATAAACACGAAAAATAGGAAATTACAAGAAAAAAGTTGAAAGAACACCTATCACCTCCCAACCCTCCCCCCACAAAAAGCAAACAAACAAACAAACAACAACAAAACAAAGAAAAAGAGAAACGAGTCCCAAAAATTTAACCTCTTCAAGGGACGAAGTGGATACAGTTTCTTTTCACAGCCTGTAGTGCTGTAATCTGCCAGCTCTTGGGTGTGGACGGACTGCACCTGGGACCTGTTGTGTTTCTTCACTCACTTGACAGGCTGTCGTGTGTGGGCGCTGAGTCCTGTCCTGCTTTTCCCGCTGGGTGGGGTGGGGCTGTCAGTGTTCCGTTGTGTGTCTCAGGGCTGTATTCACTCCATGGCGTTTGAGGGCTGTGTTCTGCGCACCCTCAGCCCGCTCTCCCCAGCCAGCTTGGAACCTGTGAGCACCACTTGCCCCTGAGCCTCCCCTGTGCATTCACGGAGGGACGTGGCAAATGTCCGTGCAGAAGCATGTCCCTGCACATGTTGGTAGGTGGGGAAAGCAAACAGAACACTGAGTTCTGTGCTGCAACCGAGCACACCACTAGCCACGTGTCGATTTCCTCAACAAGTCTGCCTGTTTCCTGGAGCGCACGCGAGTGTGGTGTGTGTGTTTGCCATAGGGATTTGGAAGCCTGGGTCTGGGTTCTCCAGGGTTCTTTTGCTCTGAGTAGCATGAGTCCTGCTGCTGTGGCCACCTGCGTGTGAAGGTGGTGGAATAACACTGGAATCTCAGGGTAGAGGTATGGTGTGGATGCCAGCCTCTAGGACGGGAGGTACTGTAATAGTAGCTCCAATTTCAAGATGGTGCCAAACTGTAGAAGCTTAGGCCCTGCAGGGTTTACAATGTGGGCTCCTGCAGTACAGCTTTGTAAATTCTGGGCAACTCTCCAAACTGTTTGGTTGCGTGTGAGGGTCCGGGAGACTCCTGTGTAGTCTGCAGCAGCAGTGGGGACTACTGAGTACCTTTTGGTATAAGAAGTCCAACATGGCTCCAAGGTGATCCAGGCAAGAGACAGTGTTGAAGAGGGAGGGTACCATGCCCTCTTTCTATGGCTGTATCTTGGTTTTTGTATTCTGCACGGACCTTACCACTTGCTTTCTCTTTTCCCTTGTACTTTCTCAGGTCCTCTAGTAAGAGTACAGAAGTTTAAAGAATAAGTTGTGGATTTTTTTTTTCAGGATGTCTTAGTTAGCTTTCCTGTCACACAAAAAAACCTCACACCTGCAATTTAAAGGAGAGGTTTATTTTGGCTCCTAGTTTCAGAGGTCTCAGTCCATGCTTGGCTGGCCAGCTTTAGGGCAGAAATGGCACAGTAGAGGAGCCTGGTGGAGGAGAACTGCTTACTTCATGCAGCAAGGAAGCAGAGACCGAGAGAAGGAAAGAATTGGAGCGGGAAACAGGCTCACCGCTCAGTGACACCCCTCTTCCAACCAGGCCCTACTTTGTAACAGTGCATTTAGCCATAAATTTACCAATATATCAATCCACCATGGAGTATAGTGTCCCAGGGATACAGTAACCATCTAAAAGCCCCACCTCTGAACCCACCGAGACTTTTAGGGGACATTTCAGATCTAAACCATAGCAAGGAGTAATGGGTGACAGGCTACTCTAGTCAGCCATTTTGTGACGTCCCTCTTCATTTCTTCTACTTGTGGATTTTTATTTTTAGATCACTTACTAGTGATGTTCATTTTCTTAAATCTTAAAAGAATTTCTTCTTCAGGGCTTCCTGAAGATTTTTAAAAATAGGATTAGGGATTGAACTTGGGGCTTTCACACTTAGCTATAACCCCAGCCCTTGTATTTTTTTTTAAAGACAGGATCTTGCTAATTTGCTAAATTGTCAAGACTTGGCTTGAACTTGTGATTCTTCTGTCCCCGTGTCACAGAATGCTGGCTTATAGGCATGTGCTATCATATCTAGTCAGTCCTAAAGGTTTTAAGAAAAACATTTTAATAAAAAAAAAATGAGAGCATTTGTGTAGTGATATTCTCTGTTGATTAAGGAAAGACTGCTATTATTTAAGTATAGCAGTGATATAAATACACTCAATCAGCAATTAAAATGCCAGTAATCTATTGGGGGTGCATGAAACCATTGGCCAAAACTAAAAGACATGGGTGAAGACTGCAGTGTAGGTGCCTCTATAAAGTAAGACGATGTATGCCACTTACCTGTGGATGATACTCAGGAACAAAAAGGAAGGTAAATGATTTTTAAGGTGATCAGTGTCCTATTTGCATTCAGGATATCCTTTCCCTTCACATAGCAGTTTTGAAGAGTTAGATACTTTGATCCAAAGACAGGAATATGAAACAGTCTTAGCTCTGTGCATTACTGTGCCTATTTACAAGTGCCTTGTCCTATGACTGAGTCAATGACAGGCCTCTGTATTTTCAGTTCACTGGTGATAGAGCTCTCTCCGGTTCTGGTAAAGCTTTGGCCATGAACTCTGCCTGTACTTAAACAGGCGTTATTGAGCTAATTACCATTTTAAACTGTCTTTCTATACATTCGGGAAACCTTTACTAAGGATAGAGGAATAACCGAGCCTTGTGCTCAGAACTGGGCATCATGAAGATCAATCGGGTCGGGCTTTGGGGAGTCCGTGATATAGATGAAAACAGATATGCAGACTAACAGTTACTGTTTGGTAAGATAAGGGAGAGCGGTAGCTCAGCGTAGAGATAAGCCAACTCTACGTGGAATCACACGGCATGTTCAGGGAAGGTTTCGTGGGGTGGGAGCACAATGCTTATGTTGAGTCTTGGAGAATGACTAAGAGTTACCTAGCAAAGACAGAGAGGTGAGAGACGGGGTATAGCAGGCACTATAGTGACCAGTGTCAGTATTAAAATATTTCTGGTATTCTGGAATACTTATCCACCATTTTAAGTAACAAAATAGTGATTTTTTAAAATAGATATAGTGTTCTTTTTTAAAAAAAATTAATTTTATTGGTACATTTAAGGTATATAATGTAATGACATTCATCATTGGAAATTTGCACCTTTACGTAATCCATGGTGGTTCTTATTTTTTCCCCATTCCCCTGTCCCTCTCTTCAACCCCTCCAACCCTCCCTATATACAAAGTTTCCACTTCCATTCCCTTCTTTCCTTTCCCCTCCCCCTCCTCTTTCCCCTTCCCTTTTTGTCCCTTTTCTTCCTATTTAACATTATTAGGTGTAGTATTTTTTGGTTTTCCTTAAAATTAATTTTAATTGGCAGATAAAACTATATGGATTTGCTGTGTACAACACATTTTGAAGCATATATACATTGTGTAATGGTTAAGCCTAGCTAATTGACATCTGCATTACCTCACATAGTATATTAATCCATTTTTCTATTGCTATAACAAAATACCTGAGGTGGAGTAATGTGTAAAGAGGTTTGTTTAGCTCCTAGTGCAGGAGATCCAAAGGCAGGGTGCTGCTTTTGGTCCACCTGGGCTCTGGTGGAGACCTCTTGCTGGATGGTATCAAGGTGGGGGCACACGCAAGAGGAAGAGATCACGTGGTCAGACAGAAAGGCAGGTTAAGGGGCCAGGCTTGCTCTTTTTAAACAGTCCTCTCACAAGAACTAACTCAGGGCTCTGGATACTTCCTTTTGATGGCCACACCCTCACAGACCCAACCAACCCCTGCAAGGCATAGGCTCTGTGAGCTGCTCTTTCCATTGTATACCCCAGTGGAGGTAATGATATCTCTCTCTGGGTTATGGGGAAGATTAAATGAAGTGCACACAAAGTGGCTTGTGCTCTGTAGCTCTTCATATTAACTCATTGTTTTGGTCAAGTTTTCTTGCAGTAGTATTTAGTACATGCTTCTTTGGCCCGTTAAGCCATAAGTGTATCCACATGGGAAAGTATGGTGCAGTTTTATAATTTTATTTTGTACTGGCATCTACTTTGAATATATTTAATTTTCTCACACCAGAAGCAAAGCTCAGTTACCCTTGACACCAGATCTACATTATACCAGAAGGGGGCCAGCTGGTGACCAGAGATAAAATCTTGGAGGCAGCTCTTCTGCCTAGAACACTGAACCTCCTCACTTTTCCACTGCTTCCTTTTTTTTTGGTACCGGGCTTGAACTTGGGACCTTGTGCTTATGAGGTAGGCAGTGGCAGCACTGAGCTAAATCCCTGGCCCCACTGCTTCCTTTTTTAAACAGACGGTTGAGGCATTTACCCACAGATTTAAAGTTACACCCAATTCATATATTCCCTTGTATATACTGCTAGTTGTCACACTTTTCTTTTTTCTACCTCTTTACTCCTGCCTTGCATGACTTGGGAAGGAGGAGGGCCCTCCTGACTCATTACACCCTCAGTCTGTAAGTAAAATCCTTTGAACTTGTTTCCTAATGTGGTTTACTGAATCTGCACCTCACACCTGGAGAACTAGGGGCTACTCGAGGTTGGGTCTTCCCCTGCAGCACTGCTCACCTCCAGGCTCTTTCTGCCTGGTGATGGCCAGGTAGGCATAACCTGGACATGGGTCAGACAAGAGCCACAAGGACATCGCCACCCTGCAGGTTTCCTGTCTGGAGAACTGCTTGGTGCAGATCACACAACAAGGCATTGGCAGGTCTCCTACCAGGTAAAGAGAACCCTGCGAAAGGTGCACTGTAAACCCCCACGTCCATTTCCTCTTCATTTCCTGTTAGGGTAGAGTTGCTAGTTGTCCTGAATCCCAGTTTAATTGGGGACTCTCAAAACAGTAAGCTAATACAATGATCTTTGGTTCCGTGTTTACTGAATCAGTCTGAAACGATTTTTAAGGCTGCATCCTTTATTTTTCACCTTTGCAATTCTAACTCATGGTAGTCGCCTCTGCAAGTATAAGAAATCAGTTTTTAATTTAGTAGGTCTTAATTTCAGCTTTAATGAAAACAATTACAAAGCATATGCAGTTGTTAATTTTCATGGTTGTATTAATATTAACAGCAGTGCTAGTTTGAGAGTTTGATGAAAGTTCCTTAAAATCATAGGTTCGGTTGTTCCAAAATAGATGACTGCTAGGGAGTATGCCATCTTCCTTAGCTGACGTTGAAGGACTCAGGCTTCAGACTGCACGTGCTGGTATCTTGTGTCCATCATTTGTTGGCTGGGTTTCTTGGGCCAGTTTCTTAACATTGTTGGACTTTAGTTTTCTTATCTGTAAGATGAGAATTACAACAATTCTAATATCATAGAGTTTATAAAGCTAAATGAGTTTGCTATCTATGACACACTTAGTGGCTGGCCCATAGTACTTGTTTAATATTGGATTGTGATTATGATCTATGGCATAAAATAGGCTAGAACAATGTAAAGATTTGCCTTGCTTTATGATGAGGTCATGACCCACTAGATTCATAAAATACCAGATGTGGAAAATGCATCTAACATATCCAATCTATTCATAGCTGAGCAGCAGCACACACTGGAGAGTACCATTGTTTATCTTTGTGACTGTCTGACTGACTGGAAGCTGTGGTTCCCTGTTGCTGCCCAGACTTACATGAAAATATTGGGCCACCTATTGCTAGCTTTGGAGGATCAAAGGCTGAGGATCAAAACTCCAAGTATGGTTTTGACTTAATGCCTATGAGTGGCACAATTATGAAGCTGAGAAATCTTGTTGAACCATTCTAAATTGGGGGCCGCCCCTAGTCTGTTTGACCAGATCATCTTTCTTGTGTTTGTTAGGGTACAGCCTCTTACACTGTGCTGCGGCCTGGGGTCGTTTGGAAACCTTGAAAGCACTAGTGGAGCTGGATGTTGATATAGAAGCTTTGAACTTCCGCGAAGAGAAAGCTCGAGATGTTGCTGCTCGGTATTCCCAGACTGAGTGCGTTGAATTTCTGGACTGGGCAGGTGAGGAAGCTCAAGTGGTGTTAACACACTGACTGGTGTTGATGGCAACTCAGGATAAACATTTCCAGCTTCCAGCTAGATGTTTTTTTTTTTCCAGCTTTAATTGAGTTTATTGGTACATTTTAGGGATATAGTACAGTTACATACATTGTTGGGATATTGTACCTCTACATGACAAGTCTTGATTCTCATTTTTTCCCCTTGTCCCTGCCCTCCCTTCACCCCCTCCTACCCTCCCCATCTACAAACACTTTATTTCCATCTTTTCATTATCTCACATTTTTTTCTTTTCCCTTATTACTGTTCCCCTACGCATCCCATCTTCCCTACACCTTTAGCTCCTTTCTTCCCATTTCTAAATGTTTGTAGATAAAACCAGTCACTATTAGAAATAATAAAAATTTGAGCAGGGCGTGGTGGGGCACGCCTGTAATCCCAGCACTTGGGAGACTGAGGCAGAAGGATCACTGTGAGTTCAAGACCAACCTGGGCTACATAGTGAGTTCCAGGTCAGTCTCAACTACATAGTGAGACTCTGTCTCAAAAAAACAAAAACAAAAACAAAAACAAACAAAGAAATAATAAAACTTGCCTGTCTCCCCACTGTTTTGCTATTGGCCTAAAACATTGTACTTAATTGGAACTGTGTATATTGGAAGCTTATTGATTTACTGATTTCTAACAATTTAATGAATAATTTTCTAAAAGACTACATGTACAATATATGTTCAAGACTGTTTTCTAAATAACCCAGGCAAAGTGGAACCTTTCTTAAATGTTTAAAAATATTTCAGTAGCACATTTGATTCTACAGATAGGGAACATTGTAATAGTGATTTTAAAAATATTTGTTAAGATAATCTGTAGTGTTAATAATCAGAATACAAGTACCCTTGTAGCATGGGTGGATTTCCAGGATGTAACATCTTTTTCTTAATTAAGTTGTTGGCTGTGTGTACACATTCATTTATGAAAATTCTTTGAGCTGTACACTTACAATGTTTTCATCTTTCTATGTGTATGTTACACTTTAATACAAAGTTCAAAAAAAGTATGTGTTACTTTGAGTGTTGCTAGTATTTTGCTAATATCTGCAACCCTGTAAAACATAGCTTAAGGAGATTTCAGGAAGATATACCTGTGTTGCTTTGTATGTATGCAAACATCAGTTTAAAGACTAGTACTTATGAAGTTCACTGCCCTCACTCTGTGTTGTCATCTGAATTCATGCCTTTAGCAAGCATTTATTGAATGGCCATTATTGAATATGTCATCACTGTCGTAGGTACGATTGGTGGTTGTTGGCTTCTGAACATTCATGGGGGATGATAACCTATAAACCCACTCAACAGTTGTATAACATTATCAGAAAGACTGTGATTAAGGGTAAACACCGGCAGGCAGGAAGTCCAAGCTACGGAGTCATCAGAGAACACGAAGTCAGCGTGTTTGGGGTTGAGCTGGGGCTTGGAGGTTGGATGGGACTTGAACGTGCAATGGAAGAGAAAAGCGTATAAGCGCGATCTTAGAGTTGGGAATGAAAAAGTAGCATGGTAGGGGCAGTGACAAGATCGCCTCACTGGAGGAGTAAGTCATAGTTTAGCATAAATGGAATAATGAAAAGGATTAAGTACATGGCTTCTTGAGCTTTCCTGAGTTGGAATACTAGTGTCCTCACGTGCAACCAATATGACTTTGGACACAGCGTTTAAATTCACTATATATTGGCTTTCTTTTCTGGAAAAGAGAGCCAAAGGCTGAGGGTTGTTGTGAAAAGTAAATTAAGTGCTGCCAAACACTAACACAATACCTGTCCTGAGGTCAGCATTTGAGAAATGCTGCTTCTATAATTATAGCTAGATTATACCCTTAAATACCAGGCTAGGCCTTTTCTTTTTATTCTGGGAGCCACTCTAGTAAGTATGGATTCTTTCTTTAGTTGGAAAGAAACTCAAACTTTTATGGAAATTTTCAGTAAAGATTATGGCAAAAAAAATTTATCCTGAAAGATCCTCTCAATAGATTTCTTTTGTAATCTCCATATTTGACTTAGCTACAGTTGTGTAAGCATATGTTCAGAATCTTTTGCCTCGCGCTGGATCCTTACTATTCTTCTTTAATTTGTGGTGCTTAACTTTCTTAGAGGAACAGCGCTGGGACACGTGCTTCAGGTACTTGTTCATCATTGATGAGGTGGCCAGCACTTTGCAGAGCATTTGGTCAATGTCACAGAAGGATGGGCTTTTGAGATCACTTTCAACTTTATCGAAAGAAGCTTGTTTTTTCAGCTGAAAGGGGGAAAACAGGTGTTGTAGATTCTGTTAGTGCGCATTAAATATATATTCTGAACATGTAAAAAATTGTACTACAAGGCATACATCAATATTTATACAAAGAAAGATTACTATAGAAGTCACCTATATAAGTACGGAATAAATGCTTTTCTATATCACACAACATAAGATTATGATCAGCATCAAAAATGTTTAATCAATACTTTCTATAGTTAGAGTATTCTGAATATTAGAGAAAATTTCATTTAATGGACACAATCATAGTCACTTTATTTTTTGTTTTTAAATTTTTATTAATTGAGTTTATTGGTACAGTACAATTACGTTCATTATTGGGATCTTGTACCTTTACATGACAGGTCTTGCTTCTCTCACTTTATTTTTTGGTTTTTATTGGTACTGTGTGTGTTTGTGGTACACACAATATGCACCTTAATCAGTTTTACTTCTACTTCCCCTCTAGCTCTCCCCTTTCTCCCCATCCCCAGAGCCCCTTATCTCCATATCAGTCATTTTAAAAATAAGACAACATTTATGATATATAATTTATTATCATCATTTTTGGTACCGGTGATCAAACTCGGGATGTTGCACTCGTGAAGCAGGCAGTGGAACCACTGAGCTAAGTCCCCAGCTCTATAAATTGTTTCACCGGTCAAGATTTCTTTTTTTCCTTTTGGTCAGTGGGTTTATAAGATTGCCTCACACTGTGGTGCCACCTATTGGCAGAGTGGGAAATTAGGTTAAGAGCTCTGTTTCCCAGAAAATTACCCTAGCATTATAAACTAGTTTACAGTGCATTTAAAAAGTACATGCCAACCTTTGTATTTAGCTTTCTTAGATAGATTCAGAAGTATCTAAGCGACCTCCTTTTCCAAGTCTTCATTTTATGAGGAAGCTAAGAGCTTCATTTCCTATACATTCTGCACTATAGCCCACAACTTTTTTTTTTTTATGTAAACAAATAATTTTAAGGAGCTTTTACTTCAGTGCACATTTGCTGGGCACTTGGTATGTGCAAAACGCCATGGTAGATACAAGGTATGACCAGGGAGGGATAGGCTGCAAAAAGGAATGACCCCTCTTAAAAAATGGATAATAATTTTATGTTCCAAACTCTTCTAAAATTTTACAAGTATTACTATTTGAATCATGAACTCACCTTTTTTTGGTGTTTCTTCCATTTCATCCACAGGTAGTGCACAGATAAAATAGACATGATTAAAAAGAGAGCTGGTGCTAAAATAAAAGTGAGGTGTAGACAACTCTGAAATATATCCACGTTAGCAAAGTTGCAGCACAGTTTGTTCAAAGGGTAAGGCAGACACCGAGGTGGACAAGTCTTAACTTTCAGGTAGTGAACTTCTTCTGGAAAAATTTCCCACCCTGCCTTTGTCCACGTGGTTCTATTACAAATGCAGAAGCTGTCCCTGAAGAAGATAAACAACAACAGAGGAAAAGTCAAAGATGGTCCTAGATTAGACATCTTCTTTTCTCAATTGGGAAGAAGATCTACAGTTAAAAAATTGGTCAGAGACAGAGCAGAAACACATACAGCGATGGTCATTGTAATATACCAGTCACAGTGAGTTCAGTGACATCATAAAAAGCCACATATGCCACCTAACCAATCACCTTAGGTTTCTTAGAGATACTTTTTGTTGTTTTTTTTTTTTTACTTTGTTTGAGCTTCTCCAGTTTTCTTTAAAACAAAGACTCTATTAATATTTTGCTAGCGAACACATCGAATCACTAAAATGTAATCAGATTCATAAAGTCTCCTAGAAAAAGTTTACGTACATTTCCTCAGAGTTGACATGATGCTACAACGTAGTGAATGAGGAGTAAGGTGACATGGTCTATGAAAAAGGGTAAGACGGCGAGGTGGTATCATATGTGACAGAAAGAAGGGGTGCAGACTTTGCTCTTAAGGAGCTTACAGACCATAGGTAAAAGCAGAAACCAAAGTAATAATAAAAATTACAAGATGGAGTAAAATGAGATCTAAATAAAATTAAAAATATGTAACAGTTCAAAGAGCAATGAGTTCTGCTTAGAAGAAGTTTCGCAAAGGTATATTTGATTTGGACTTAAAGAATGAGTAGAATTTTGATAGGTGACAATGCGGAGAGAGCGTCTCAGAGTTCCCAAGAGATTCTGTGTTAACATTTATCGAGTGCCTGTTACAGGCTAAATATTGTTCTAGGGACAGAGAGTGTATACACAAGTCCCAGCACAAAGCAGAATATCAGAACATTTACCTTCGTGGGGCCTGCAATTTAGTATAGGGACATAGAATATAATTATCTCTCTAGTGTCTGTGGCATGCAGTAGAGAAAAATAGAATCGTGAGGGAGTTAAAAGTTTCCAGCAAGTCAATCAATGTGTGTGTGGATTTTTGTTTTTGTTTTTTTGTGGCACTGGGATTGAACCCAGGGCCAGGGCTGCCTTCACGTTAAGCTACATTCTCAGCTCGCTCTCGCACAATGCTCTCTCTCTCTCTCTCTCTCTCTCTGTCTTCCTTTCTTTCTATTGACAGGGTCTTGCTATGTTGCCCAGGATGGGCTCAAATTTCTCAGCCTCCTAAAGCCCTGGGATGATAGACGTGCACCACCATGCTCATCTGTTAATTTTTGGAGTGAAATCTTTGATAAGGCAAGGCTTGAGAAGAGACCAGAAGGAACTGAAGGAGGAATCTCACATGGGTGGTGCTGGGGCCTCGTGAGTAGGAATAAGCTGTGGATAGAATCTGTGGAGGAGAAAAAGCTGGAAAAATAGTTCATGGCTAGATTGATCTTGGAGGGCCCTATATTTTATGCAGTTGGTGGTATGGAATAGTTTATAGAGTTCTGAGAAGTGGCAAAATAAATATATTGAGTGCTTCTCTGTGTACAGGCACTGTGATCTTTGGATTTGTCATGCTATATACACACCACTAATACTTCATTATGGGCTGTACTATATACTATAATATGTGGTACATACTATGTATTATAGTCCTCACAGTTGCTCTTTGATGACTGTAGTGGAAAACTCCCATTTTCCAGATGAGAAAACTGAAGTCATGAATGATAAGGTAAGGTGGTATTAAGAGAAGGCTTGCAAATAGGTTCCTTTCTCTGCCAGCTCACCGGCCTAAATATGTGCCCAAAAAAGTGTTCTTGTTATGAGATGCAGCTTCATGGAAAGCCCTTTATCACCTTTTCCAACTAATTTATCCCCTAAATTCCACGTTGTATTGAAATTCTGAATTCACCACTGATTTCAGATCACCCAACTAGTGGAACCAAAGGCTCAGTGCTGGATTCAAGTGCAGGAAATTAATTATGCTGGCAACATGAAAGCTAGATTTGAAGCTCTGAAGATAGATTTGCAGCTGTGACTCAGTTCAGCTGGGTGTTCCCACTTAAATTGACCATGAATCCACCACAGCAGGCACGGGAAGCTTGTGAATATTTTGGTATCTGCTGTACCAAACATGGAAGTGGCTTTGAAATTGGGTAATGGCTAGATGACAGGAAGAGTTTCGAGATGCACGTTAGAAAAAGCCCAGATTGTCCTGGACCATCTGTTGGTAGAACAGTGGGTCTCAAGGAAACTACTGTTGAGGGCTCAGACGGGAATGAGGAGCACGGTAGAGAAAGCCTACTTTGTATTAAAGAACACATCAATTATCACAAACAGGATGGAGGTAAAGTGGAAAACATGCTATTGGAAACTGCAGGTAAGGAAGTCTCGTTACATAGCGGCAGCAGGCTTAGCTGTAATATGTCCTGCCATTATGTGGAGAGCGGAACTTGCAAGGATGAACCTGGATATTTAGCCGGAGAGATTCCCAAGCAAAAGTTAACCTGATTTGTTTTTTGCTCCTTATAGTAAAATGTGAGAGATAAATTGAGGGAAGAGCTATCAAGCAAAAGTGAAACAGGGCTTGATGATTGGGCGAAGTCTCAGCCTATCCAGATCACAGAAGGCACGGCTATGTTTGGAAAAGTTTCCCACAAAGCCTGATACACGAAGCCTTGATTTCCAGCTTGGTACCACTGGGAATTTGTGGGTCCTGTGATGGGTGGGGCCTAGTGGGAGGCCTACCACTCAGTAGGGGCAAGTGGGGCCCCAGCCCTGTCTTCTGCTGTTCATGTGCTGCTGGCTGAGGGGTGAACGGCTTTGCTCTCACATGCTCCTTTCTGTAATATGATGCCTCACCAGAGACCCTAAAGCAACAGAGCACACCATGGACTAAGCCTCTGAAACTGTGAGCTGAAGTAAACCTCTCTTCATAAATGGATTATCTCAGGCATTCTGTTATGGTATAAGAGAACTGACTAACACAGAAGCTAAAATTAAGAAATTCACTGTCAAGAAAGTATGCTCCAGAGGAAAAATCCAGCAGTATGGCGACATGTCTTTTTGCTAGTGCTGCAGAGATTAGGAGTGTGGCTTGTGGGTTCTCAGCTGTCTCTCCAGAAGCCAGGCATAGAAATGAGATTATCCACGAAAGACCTGTGGAGGGGACTCTTGTGTACTAAGTGAATCTCTCTGATGCGCCAGGAGACTCGCCTTGTTTTTGAGAATATTATGCCAGAAGAAACACTGCTTTAGGCAAAGGGACAAAGAGAGAACAAAACGAAACTCCCAAACATGTGTATGCGGGGAATAGACTAATAAAGCTACTCTGCTACAAGCACATGGTATGTTTCATGAGAAAGGAAGGATGACTACGCAGATGAAACCGTAGGTCCACAGGGCAAAGCCTCAGGACCTGAGGGTAGAGTCTCGTGTCACGGATTATTCCCAGGCCTTGGGACCTGATGGAATTTGCCTTGCTATATTTCGTAATTGTCTGGGACTGGTAATGCCTTTCTTCCTTCCATGTCTATAACTGTAATTCAATTCCTGTTCCACCATTGCTGAGAAGAAGATAGCTTGTTTTTTCTAGTTTAACAGGTCCATGGATGAAGAGGAATTTTGTCCCAGGATGGTATACTCAAGAGTCTCACCTATAAATTGTTTAGATGATGTGGAGCTGGAGGTTTGAGACTTTTGAGATATTTAAGTGAGAGCTTGGATGGGAATTGATATTGAAGTAACATTTGGGGGAATGAACGTATCTTGCATTTGGTGTGCTGAAGACTGAACCCAAGGCCTTGTACATGTTACGCAAGGGTATCTTGCATTTGGGGTTGATGTGAATTCTGAGGGGGTAAGTGGGAAGGCTATGGTAGGCTTAATGACATCTCTCAAAGCTATCTAACTCCTAATCCTGGAACCTGTGAATCTTACTCCATATGACAAGAGGGGCTTCACAGATCCTTAAGATTCTTTGTTTATTTTTTGAGACAAGGTCGTGCAGTGTAGTTCAGGCTGTCCTTGAACTCACTATGTATCCCAGGCTGGCTTTGAACTCACAGCGATCCTCCTGCCTCAGCCTCCCAAGTGCTGGCTTCTTAAGATTCTTGAGATGACAGATTATCCTGGGTTACCCAGGTGAGACCCTAATGTAATCGTGCTGTCCTTGTAAGTGGGAGGTAGAAGGTTTGACACAGAAGAGAAGGTAATTTGCTGATAGAAGAGATCAGAATGATATATTTGAAATGGAGTAAGGGACCACAAGCCAAGGAATTTAGGTAGCCACTGGAAATTGAAAAAGACAAGGAACAAATTCGCTCCTCAGAGTTAGCAAGCCCTGACAACATGGTGGCAGATTTCTGGCCTCTAGAAATGTAAGAGGGTAAATTTCTGTCATGTTAAGCCATCAAATTTGTGGTTATTTAATATAGCCACACAAAACAAATACATGAACATTTAAATTAATTTGGGTCTAATCTACAATTATCATATTCAGTTGTTCTATCCAGGAATATGGTCAGCTCCTCTGAGTCTTACTTCTTTCAGTAGTATTGCAGTTTTATTTAAATAGGTTTCACAAATTTTGTGATAATGTTACTGTGAATGTATTTTAAGTACTTTTTTCATTTTTTTTCTCATTGAGTTTATCGGTACATTTTAGGTATACAGTACAGTTACATTCATCATTGGGATCTTGTACCTTTACATGACAGATCTTGGTTCTCATTTTTTCCCCCATACCCCTGCCCTCCCCTCACCCCCTCCTCCCCTCCCCCTTTACAAACACTTTATTTCCATTTTTTCATTTTCTCATATTTTTTTCTTTTCCCTTATTTCCTTTCCCCTCCTCCTCCCACTTCCCCTCCACCTTTAGCCCTTTTCTTCCTATTTCACATTGTCAGTTATCCCATTAGGATCTTATGTAGCATTATAGTTTTTCACACCAGAGAAACTATTCGGTATTTACCCATGTGAGACCTATTTATTTCACCTAAGAGTATATCCTCAATATGCATCCATTTTCCTATGAATGAGTCTAATTTCTCATTCTTTATGGCTGAGTAGTATTCCATTTTATAGAAAAACCACATCTTCTTTATCCAGTCTCCAACCTGATGGGCAAATGGGCTGTTTCCAAGTTTTAGCTATTACAAACTGTGCCACTATAGACATGGGTGCACATGTATCATTGTGATATGATTCTTTTAATTCTTTTTTGAAAAGAAGAAAGCTTAAAAAAATTTTGTGAAACATTAAGAGTAAAGGAAAGAACAGTTTGTCCATTGGAAATATTTTTTGTTTTCTTTCTCTAGAGGGACATTTTAATAGGTTCCCTTTGGGATCAGGTCTTGTGTTTTATATTTCCTTTGTTCTTCAAACATTTTAGCACAATTCTAGGAACATGAGTACTCCCACGTGATGTGCTGGTCGAGTGTTATTTTTCTGGGATTCAGTGAAAACAGGCACAATGAATCTCTCACACATAATCTTTACAAAGTTCTGGATATGTAATGTACTTTACAAAGAGTTGAGTGCTTTTTAAAATCTTTCTTTTATCATTGTGTGTTTTTCTGCCTTATTCTTTCAGATGCCAGACTGGCTTTGAAAAAATATATTGCAAAAGTTTCCTTAACCATTACTGACTCAGAAAAGGGGCCAGGGAGGCTCCTTAAGGAAGACAAGGTACTGTATTGTGATTATTGTTCTGAAAGTCCTTTGAAAATTTCTTCTTCTTAATTTCTCTAGTGTTCTAGAGGTAGGCAATGGCCCATACTGATTCGCTGCTTCCTTCCCCCTCTTCTCTCTCCTCCCTCTTGTCCTCTATTCTCGTTCCCCAATTTCTTCCATCTCTCTTTTCTGTCCTTCATAAACTACTGGTAAGGGACAGACTGATCTAACAACAGGGTGAATCTCAGGAATGTTGAGTGGAAAATAATTACCAAAGACGACACAGATTTCTGTAAAGGTCAAAACCAAACAAAATCAAATTATATTATTTAGGGATACCTACATATGAGGGTTAAACTATTTTAAAAATTAAAGCTTTTTAAAAAATATTTTTTTTAGACAGGGTCTCATTAGGTAGTTTAGGCTGTCCTTGAACTCACTATGTAGCCTGGCCTGAACTTTTAGTAATCCTCTTGCCTCAGCCTCCCAAGTTCTGGGATTTCAGGCGTCTGCCACCACACCTGGCCAAAAAAAAAAAAAAAAAAGAGCCAATTTTATCAAGAGATTATACTTATGCCTTGGAGGCAGGCGGTGGAATTGGAGACTGTGACCATTAATTTTGGTATGTCAGCTTCATTGGATTAAGGCCCACCTAGCATGACCTTGGGTACCGTATATTGTCCTTTGCCCGTTCTCCTGCACTCTTTCCCTGCTTCCTGGTTGCCACGAACTAAGCAGCCTTTTCCATGCCCTTCTGCGATGATGCCTCTGCCTTGCAGCCTGCTGATCGGGTACCGAATCCCCTGAAACTCTAAGCTGAATTAATCCTCTTTTTAAAGTTGTGGGTTTGAGTATTGTGTCTCAATGACAAGGCAGCTGACTGATACAGAAAATTAGTACAGAGGTGTGGGGTGGTTGATCTGACTACCTGACCATGTGGCTTAGAAGCCTTCAGACTGGTCTGCTAGAGGAGTTTGAAAAGGTGGTGAGATGTGGGCTAGAGAAGCCTTAGAGTGCAGTAAGCAGAGCCCGATGAGTGACAGGCTGCAGCTCAGAAGACCAGCTTCCAGGGGTGGTGCAGACACCTATAGTCCCGGAGCTTGGCAGCCCAAGGCAGGAGGACCACTGTGAGTCTGAGGCCCGTCTGGGCTACCTAATGAGTTCAAGGACAGTTTGAACTGCACAGCGAGACCTTGTCTCAAAACAACAATAACAACAACAAAAAAACAAACATAAAATAGGCTGGATATGTGGCTCACTGCACAAGGCCCTAGGTTCAATGCAGGAAAAAAAAAGAAAAAAGAAAAAGAAAAAGAAAAGAATACTAGAATGCTAACAAGAATATGGATGGTAAAAGCCAGGCTTATGAGCTTTCAGTTGGGAACAAAGACTCCATTGGTATTTGTATTGTAGGCCATGTGTGTTTTACTCTGTCAGAAAATTTGTCTACACTTTGGCTATGTGATGAGACTTTGCAGGAGACTCAGATTATAGCTGGTGGACTAATTAATATGTTGGAGGAGATTTCAAGATAGCTGAACATCCAGATAGTGGCATGGGCACCACTTGTTGCTTTTTTTTTGGTACGGGGGATCAAACTTGGGACCTTATGCTTGTGAGGAAGGCAGCAGAACCACCGACCTAAATCCCTGGCCCACCACTTATTGCTTTTGGCCAGGTTTATAGTGAGAATTGGGGACAAAAAGCAGAACAGAATATTTTGAAAAATTTAAATTTTTCCCAGAAGGAAGCACATGTAAAGTTGAGGCCAATAAAAAGATTAGTGCCATTAAAAAGAAACCAAGTATTTTGTACAAGGACAGAAAGAAAGACACCTTGAGGATATCTTAGGAATTAGCAAGACCCAACTCTTTGCAGGCACAAAGGTGCAAAATTGTCAACCTTTGATTTGAGAAGAGAGTCCTTGGGACCTCTGCTCAAGAAGGGCCTCTTTGGGCCTGGGATTTGGTTCAGTGGTTCCGCCGCCTGCCCAGCAAGTGCAAGGGCCCCGAGTTTGATCCCCGGTACCAAAAAAAAAGAAGGGCCTCTTTCTCTTATGTCTTCCAGTTTCTAACCCTGTGTTTTTCTCTCCAAGAATGAGACAGTGTAATGTACAAATAAATAGAACACAGTGTTGGGATAAAATAACTACTTAACTATTGTGTTTTTGAAGCAAAATATTCCATTTTCTACCTAAATTCTATTTTTATTTTATGGTAATATAAAAAAATTAGAAAAGCATTTAATGTTAAAACTGCTAATTGCTAAAAAGCACTCCTCAGTGGGAGGTAGCACTTACAGTAAAAATAAAGACAAGAGTAACAGTTCCCTACAATGCGTGTAATCATTACGTACTGGAAACTTGTACTAATAAAAATAAAAAATTTAAAAAATAAAAACCATTTTTGGAATATATATATATATATATGATATTAAACGAACCAGCATCATCTGTCATCTCCACAGGATTACAGGGTCAGCTTGTTAATATAGTAGTTAGTGGGGCCCATATTTTAATTCATTATTTAGGATCATAGATCCTTTACTGTAAGTTCACCTAGATTATACCACAGATCACATGCTGAGACGCAGCCATAGTGTTTGCACCTTTGCCTGAATGTCACTTGCTGCGATGTCCCCAGAAAGCACAGGCTGGCCTGGCCTCTGCACCCACACAGGCAGTGATGTTCCTGGGTCCTGCCTAGCGGAAGCTGGGTCACACCCTCCACACTCCATCTTCCGCTTGTCCATTTCCTGCTTCCTGATGTCCTGTCTGATGCTTTCCTGGTTTATGTTCTGGAAACTGGTGATATTACCTGCTGATGTCTTAAAGGTTATAAGGGAAACTGTCTCCTCGCTAAACTTTGTCCCCAAGGATAGGCCTGTGGAACCTCAACAGGCTTGTCTGGCTTTTCTGAAAATTACATGCAATGTTATAAATATTTTTATTTTTATCAATATTAATATACAGTTTTATAAATGTGTGATACTCTGCTAATTTGATTTCTTTTTTTTTTTGGTACTGGGGATCAAACTCAGGACCTCGTGCTTGCGAGGCAGGCGGCGGAACCACTGAGCTAAATCCCCAGCTGCTAATTTGATTTTGAACTGTAAATTTCAAGTATTCTGTTTTTGGGATTTGAATGTATTTTTGTACTTTATTAAAAAGGAAAAATTGACATTCCATGTTCCTGGTAGTTCCAGTTTCCTGGGGTCTCTGCAACACCTTCGGGTACCTTCCCACTGCTTCACAGATGTGCTCGGAGAGACTCCGTGATTGCCTTCCCAGGTCTTTTTTTTGAAATCTCTGTGGAAGCTTCCCTAACTCCACAATTCTTGTATTCTGCATGCCTGACAAGCCAGCATCACATGGACAATGCCAAGATCTGCTTCTATAGACTTTGTGTTCTGGAAATGGAGCTACATGATGTAAAGTTTGCCCTGGTGGGTTTTGATCCTGCTCTGGTCTGATTCTTTTCTATCCACCTGTTCCTCTCTTTTGGAGTGGGAATATTGCATTGTATGTTGGGATTATGTAACTTGTTTTTAATTTTTATAGAGGTTCATAGCTAAGAATTTTCCTTGAGTCTCAGAAGAGACTTAGACTTTTGAAAAATGCAGGAACTGTGGTTTTGGGGGAGGGGTAATTGCATTTCCAGTTGTGCTCAGGATAGTTGTATTACGTTAGGTGGAATTCTGAACTTGCTATTGTCTTTATTTGGAGATTAGGTGTGGTTTAAAGAGATACATTTGGGTGATGTTGACAAAAAGTGGATTTTGATGACTAATTTTGTTACATCAACTTCATTGGATTAAGAAATGGCTAGCAAGTTAGTAAAGCACACTCCTGGTTTTGTCAGCTTGGTCATGGAGTTGTGGTTTTGGGTACTGTATGTGGTTTCTCTCCCAGCCCTCTCTGGCTCTCTTCCTTTGTTCTGCTTTTTGCCCATCATGAACTAAGCAGCTTTGCTTTGCCGAGCCCCTCTGTCCTACAGCTTCTGCCCTGGAGCCTGCTGATCACGTACTGACTCTCCTGAAGATGAGTGAGCTCTCCTGTGAGCTACATGAAACCTCTCCCTCTTTAAGTTTTGTGTGTTGGGTATTGTGTCTCAGCAGGGAGAAAGCGGACTAATACAGGGAGGGACATAGAACTTGTGTTAGCACTACTGGCTGTTTCTTTCAATGCTTAGTAGGATCCACTGATACTCATTTCATTATTTTGCTTCAAATCTTAGATATACATTATACATTTTAGTATATATACATATATTTATATATTTTTAATATAACAAAATTTCCATAATGGGGAAAAAGTTGCAGATATAAAGATAGCCAATGGTAAAGCTGAGTTGCCATATTACTGTATTTAATTACCTGTGAACTACTTTGTTGATTTTGATGTATATTAATTAAATATGGTCAAAGTATCATAAATGGGTTTTAATTTTAAATTATTTCATGAAAAGTTTTCTGTGATTTTTCTCTGACATAATTTAGATGAAAAAGAGTTAGCTATTGCTAAAAGGAAATAAACAAGTCTAAGAATTTGATAAATTACACATTGCACTTGAATCTAGAATTTGATAAATTACACATTGCATTGAACAAAATCTCTTATGAAACAAATGAAATATAGAAAAAGTTTTATCAGAATAGCTACTGGAGCCATTAGACCTGCAAAACAAAATTTTCTTGGTATAAAGGAATAGTGCTTTTTTAAACTAGTTGCTAGAAAACCTTTTAGCTTTAATTTTTAGAAACTTGCTTATCTGAACAAGAAAATGTATACATACAGTAATAACCAGAAAAAACAAAACAACATTTAAAACAAGCTTAAATGGTTTTCTCTTCTTTATTCACTTTTTTCTGCATACTTCTATATCTATTATTGCTTATTACTTAATAGCATGTGAAGACATACCATAATTTATTCATTTCTCTTTATTCTTATAAGCCATAGTATAACATAAAAAAACATAATAAAATAAATATCTTTTGCTCTACTTTTAAATTTCTTGATTGACATATTTGTACATATTTATGAGGTGTAGTATTATAAACATCGTCAATCAGACATCAGAAGTTTACTGCATATGTGCAAAAGGAAAGGTTTTCAGTGGGCTATAGCTTTTCTTGAATTTCTTGAACTTTTTCCTCTAGAGAACCATTTGACAGGGAATAAAATACCAGCATCATCTATTGAGGTGCATGCAGCTCCCTGTTGTTTTCCAGCCTTTTCTAGCTTTTTTTCTTTTTTTCTTTTTTTTTTTTTTTTTTCCC